CCACCGATTTTTTTTTTTTTTTTTTTAAAGAGATGTGATATATTTTATTGGCGGTAAGAATAGGTATGATAAGTATTGTTAAAAGAACTGCAAAAGTAAAAGGAAAATAAAAGGCTTGGTAGTGATGGCCTGCCACCTTTCAGTCCCATTCTCCACAATGTCTATGCCACCCTCCCCTCCACCCTCTATGTGTATAAGTTCAACACCCATCATATTGGAGAATGGAAGAAAATCTGAAGAATCTTGGATAAAGATTATTGTTATTGTTAGTTGCTGTTAAGTCTCTGAAAATTCTGGTGATTTTAAACCTGGGACCCCTGATCCTGGCTTAAATTGTTACCCATTTGATGACTGAATAGTCTGTAAAAGTAATAAATGTAATAGTCTGATGGCAATTCAAATCTCAGTAGAGAAAGTATTTTGGAGTGAGGGGGACCTTGAAACTCCCTCTAATCACTACCAAGTCATATGATTTTGACCACCAGGCAGTTTTATGTTAGACATAACATGAAATGTTACTAGCCCTGTGCAGTAGAACATTCTGCAGTGATGGAAATATTTTATCTATACTGCACTGTTTAAGATGGTCATCACTAGCAACATGTGGCTATTGTGCATTTAAATGTGGCGAGTGTGACTGAGGAAGTGAATTTTTAATCTTATTTAATTGCAATTGATATTTAAGTAGCTTTATGTGACTAGTGGTCACCTTAATGGATAGCACAACACTTTGCCTCAGCGATCACTCCCCCTCACAAATAGAACCACTTGGGCTTCACCTGTAAGGCTCAGTTACAACTCACACTTTGCTATAAATCTAACCTTTGGGCCAGTGGTTGTTATTCAGGAATGTGCATTAAAAAAAAAAATACCCAAACTCATTGCCATCGAGTCAGATCCAACTCATAGTGACCCCTCCTTGGGTTTCTGAGGTGGTATCACTATGGGTAGATTGCCCAGTCTTCCTTCTGAGGAGTGGCTGGTGGGTGTGAACTGCCAGCCTTCTGGTTAGCAGTTGAATGGCTTAGGAACTATGCCACCAAAATTCCTAGGAATGTGCATAGGTAATTTTAATGTATGTTGTATGAAGACTACTTTTGCAGAAACATGAAACTAGATATCCTGAGTGCACTATTTGGTGGCTTAGACCTTGGCATCTATAACAGGTTGGTTCATTTTATGTAGAGCAGAATCACCTGGAGGGCTGTTAGAACACAGATTGCTGGGCATCACCCCCAGAGATTCGGATTCTGTAGGTCTGGGGCGAGGCCCAGGATTTTGCATTCCTAGTAAGATCAGCTTTTAATCACCCAGGGGCACCTCAGAAGAAAATTCTGGCAGTCTACTTCCAAATTATCAGCTATTGAAAACCCTATGGAAACAGACCCATAACAAAAGAAAAGATTGAAGAGATAATAAAAATTAAAAAATTCCCAGTGAAAAAATAAAAGCCCTGCCCCAGATAGCTTGACTAGAGAATTCTATCAGTCATCCAGAGAAGAGCTCACACCAATACTACTCAAACTATTTCAGAGCATAGAAAAGGAAGGAATACACCCAAAGCTATGCAAAGACAAAGAAGAAGTGGGATAAACAGAAGGCCTTCCCAATTCTTTCCTTCCTATGTGGCTTTTGCTTGTTAGAGCTGCTCCAGGATGGGTGCATTAGCCATAAAGAAGATAGGGTGTTGACAAGGGGAATAAAGTCATTAAATGGGGAGGAGATAGTCTCCTTAACAAATTGTGCTGGCAAAACTGGATATCCGTTTGCAAAAAAAAGAAACAGGACCCATACCTCACACCATACAGGAAAACTAACTCAAAATGGATCAAAGTAAATACAAACCCTAAAATTGTAAAGATCATGGAAGAAAAAATAGGGATAACACTAAGGACCCTAACATATGGCATACATAGAATTCCAAACTAAGGAAAACTTCACAAACAACAGAAGATAAACTAGATAAATGATACCTCCTAAAATTTAAATATTTATGCTCTTCAAAAGACTTCTCCAAAAGACAAAAAGAGAACCTACAGACTGGGGGAAAAATTTGACTGCAACATATCTGACAAGAATCTAATCTCTAAAATTTATGGAAAACATCAACCCATCAATGACAAAAAAGACAATCCAATGAAAAAATGGACAAAGGATATGAACAAGACACTAAAGACATTCAAGTGTCTAACAAACACATAAAGAAATGCTCATGATTGTACCTATTAGAGAGATGCAGTAGATACCATCTTACCTTGACAATATTGGCACTAATAAAAAAAAAAAGAAAATAATCAATATTGGAGAGGTTGTGGGGAGACTGGAACACTTATATACTGCAGGTGGGAGTGTAAAATGGTGCAACCACTATGGTATATGGTATGGTGCTTCTTAAAAAGCTGGAAATAGAAATACCATAAGATCCAGCAATCTCACTCCTATATACCCTAAAGAAATAAGAGCCAAGGCATGAATAGACATACACACACCCATGTTCATTGCCACATTATTCACAATAGCAAAAAGATGGAAACAAACTGCCCATCAATGGATGAATGGATAAACAAACCATGGTACATACACATAATGGAATACTATGCAATGATAAAGAATAACAAAAAATCCATGAAACATCTCACAACATGGATGGATTTGGATAACATTATGCTGAGTGAAATTAGTTAATCACAAAAGGATAAATACTGTATGAGACCACTATTATAAAAATATAAAAACAAGAAAAGATTTACATACAGGAAAAAAAAAAACCCCACATTCTTTGATGCTTACCAGGGATGGGAGGGAGAGGGAGGGAAAATTATTAACTAGATAGAAGACACATGTTAATAATGGTAAAAAGGAAGGCAATACACAATATGGGGTAACAACATGACCAAGGCAAAGGAAGAAACTGAGAGGAATGCAGGAATAAAGGGCATGGATTACATCTCAACATAAAAAAAAAAAAAAATCCTTACAACTGGACAAAAGCAATAACATGATAAACAGAAGAGATTGAAGTTGTCAAGGATTACATTTTGCTTGGATCCACAATCAATGCCGATGGAAGCAGCAGTCAAGAAATCGAAGGGCATATTGCATTGAGCAACTCTACTGCAAAAGACCTCTTAGAAGTGTTCCAAAGCAAAGATGTCACTTTGAAGACCAAGGTGTGCCTGACCCAAGCCATGATCTTTTGAGTTGCCTCACATGCATATGAAAGCAGGGCAGTGAATAAGGAAGACAGAAGAATTGATGCCTTTGAGTTATGGTATTGACAAAGAATATTGACTATAACAAGGACTGCCTGAACAGTGAAAATTCAGATGAAAGCAAGACCAGGGTGGAAATGGGGAGAGTGTGGAGAATGCATCCAATGTCATGGAACACTTTATGAACAAAATAGTGAATGGGAAACTAATTTGCTCTGTAAACTTTTGCCTAAAGCACAATAATAAATTAAAAGAAAACTCTGTGGAATGCAGTTCTACTCTGACACACATTGGGTAACTGTGAATCGGAATTGAGATGGCAAGTGTTGCTTTTTCTTAGGTTTAATAACTTCCCAGGTGATGCTGATAGTACCACATTTTGAGAACCACAGTTTTGAACCAAGCCCCTATCTCATACCCTGGTTTCAGCAACTCACTTCTTGCCTTAATCCTTCATACTGAGTTCTTTTCTTTACTCCTTCAAAATCATCTGGCTTAATTTGGCCTAGAGACTTCCTGGCTCTCACCAGTCCCCCCAGCGGCTAAAGCTAAAGTAGTCACCTGACCCAACTACCTGTGACATGACTTCCAGCCCTCTCTATTTACGACCAGTTGTCTAGAATCCTGCTGTGCTACTTCCTTGATGCCAAACTCCTCTTGGCCTTTCATGGTACCTGTCCTTGGACTTCTCACCAGCTGTTCCCCATATTTCTGAGTGCTGAAACTTCCTTAAATGCTTTTCTCACTCCAGTTGGTTTGTCTAGGGTCCTGTCCTTAGCCTCTCACCCAAACCTGTCCATTGCCAGCTGAGCTCCAGTTTTGGCACAACATCAGTATAGAGTACCTGCCAGGGGAATTGACCTGGTTTGGCGTTTTCTCCACCAACAACCCGAGTGAAGTCTGTATATGATATGTTGCTTTGAGTGACGTTATCCAAAATAGTCTCAGCTTCAGTAGAATTTTCATAGTCTGTGTTGGAAAAAATAGTCTCAGCACGGGTGAGCTTCTGAGTGTGTGAGACGGAAACTCTTCCACATGGAAATGGCACTGGAAGAATAATAAAAAAAATTAGTATGCTGGGATTTCTCATTGGCAAACAGAATATGTATTACAAAAATTTAGAACAAGGTCCATCCTTGTCACTTCTGAGAAGCAGGCCCATCAATATTAACAAAATTGAATAAAAAAATATAGTCTCAAGTTAAAGGATGATTGCATTATTTTAATGGGAAGTTTTCAAACCCTTTAAGGGAAGAACTTTTGGCTCAGGAATCCATGTCTTTATGGAAATAGGTCTTCCAGAGTCAAATTTGGTAAGACTGAAGAGTTCTGGTAAGATGGCAGAATAGGCAGAAAGACTGCACAGACCCTCCTCAACAAAGAAAAGGGGAACCAATTATCACAGACATAGAAGATAATCCTGGACCCCTGAGCCTTGAAGGGAAGGATATAGAAGTGGACTAAACTCCAACTAGCAGAAGATTTTGCATGAAAACACCAAAAAAGGAGACATATGGAGCTGCGGTCTGGCAATGATCCTGATGGCACAGACAGCTTGGGTGTTGCTGAGTGGTGGTGGTGGTGTTATGTGCCATCGAGTCAGACCCGACTCACAGCGACCCCTCCTTGGGTTTCCTAGGCAGTATCACTACGGAAGTAGATTGCCCCATCTTCCTTCCGAGGAGTGGCTGGTGGGGAGTGGTGGTAGCACCTAAGAATTAACCTAAAAATCGGCCCTGATAGGCGGAGCCTGCATGGAGACTGCTCTAGCATCTGGTGAATAAAAGGGGAAGCAGTGAATAGGAAGGTGGGCTGAGCTGTGGACTTTTGTCTGTCTGCAGGGTGCAGCCATTTTGAATGTTTGAAAGTGGCTTGACCATTTTGGATATTTAAAGCAACACCATTCTCCCAGATTCCAGGGACTTAAGAACAGGCTCCATTTGCTGGGAACCTCAAGGATATTCTGGACCCGGGTGACTGGAAAGGTGTGACATTCCCTTTGTTACTCTTATACCCCACACCCTCTTGGTGAACGGAGGTGTGGCCATCTCTCACTCCCACCCACTTTCTGGGCCGGCAGGAATTCCACCCCAGTCTGCATGCTCTGACGGAACCTGGGTGCCCTGCCCCCCTGCCCCAATTTTTTTTAATAAATGGTGTATTTTTTTTGTCCATTTGCTTTTACGTTTTTGATGGTTATTCAATTGTTATTTTTGTCTAACTGAGTGGAAGACAGCAATAGTCCCCATATGACACAAATACACCCACCTCTCCTGCAGCTTCACTTACTGAGTGAGAGCCACCACTTCCTTCTCCACCAATGGCCCAATGATAAACAACCACCAAGAAGAGCCTGACTCACCCTTGGCTGCTCATCACAAACAATTAACAGACATCTAAATACAACAATGCCATGATGTCTCAGAGACAACAGACCATCACAGTCCACACAAAGAAGCAAGATAAAGTGGTAGAAACAAGGGAGAAAGATACAGACCCAGAACACATTCCTGAGGAAGAAGCAGCATTGAATCTCTCTGATAAGGAATTCAAAAGAATTATATTCAGGTATCTTCAAAGGATTGAGAGACAGACCAAGAGAAAACACAGACAAAACCCTAGAAGAATTTTGGAAGAAAATACAAGAACAAAATGACAAAATAATGAAAAATCAGAAATGATTCTAAATCTACAGATAGAAATCCAGAAGATTAATACTAAATTGTCAGAATTAGATAACACATTGAAAGGGTAAAGGAGTAGAATTGATGCAGTGGAAGATGGAATTAATGAGATGGAAGACAAATACCTGAATACTTCTTTGGAACGGGATCAGTCAGAAAAAAAGATCAAAACAAAAGGAAGAAATCCTAAGGTTCATGTGGGATACCATCAAAAGGAATAACCTATGTGTCATTGGAATTTCAGAACAGGAAGAGATAAAGAAA